AATAATAATAATAATAATAATAATAATAATAACCTGATATTGTGCTCTTCGACAAGACTACTCGTGGCATTTATGTCATAGAGTTTTCGGCCCTGGCTGAATACAACATCTCAGCCAAACAAGAGCACAAAAGACAAATATATCAGGATCTCCTGTTTGAAATTGGCAAACTTTACCCAGGTTACCGTGTCAAGCTTGTCGTCCTGATTGTTGGCGTCCTTGGAGGGATGAAACAGTCTTTTGTATCCTCACTTGCCAGAGTTCCAGCTTGCTCATCAAAAGCTGAGTTCTTGGCAGTCAGGATGCAGAAGGCTGTGATACTAGGTTCCCTCCGTCTACTTAGGAAAATGACTTTGGCCTGCTGTGATCACTAACCGCCTTGTTGTGCGGAGTGGTCCAGCAGTAATGGATGGAGCTCAGGCTGGGCCCTCGGAGAGTCGGACTCCGGGGACAACCCCCCTGAGCATTTAATAAAATAATAATAATAATAATAATCTTTATTTAGCCTTCGGCTATCATTACTCATTTACAATATTTATATTCATTATCACAGTCATTATTTATCATTATTTACATATTTATAAATTAACAATAAGTATTAGTAGTTATTTTTAATATGTTCTTTTAGCAACCGTTTAAAGTACTTTAATCTATTCTCTTTCCTTATATCAGTAGGTAGGCCATTGTACCAATCATAACCCACATAGGTTAAACTTTTTTCAGCAGTATTAATCCTAGTATATTTTATACGCATTTTAGAGCTGGATCTAGTATTATAATGATGAGTATCAGCGATTTTAACAATTTTATCAGCTAAAATTTTTGGTTTTTCGTTTATAGTTAATTTATGTATTAAAATACAGATGTTAAATACCATCCTTTGTTTAATACTCATCCATCCTAAAGTTTCGAGCATATCACTTACACGAGTATATTTACTTACTCCTAATACTAATCGCATCGCCCTATTTTGAACTTTTGGAAGTCTATCTAGGTCACCTAATGAATAATTAATCATTACACTACTACAATAGTCAATATAAGGACTGATTATAGTTTTATAGATTAGATTTTTAGAATAACTACTTATAGCATTCCCCAGACGGTACATAATATTTAATTTTCTAGCCATTTTATTAATAGTTTCGTTAGCGTTTTCCTTGAAGGTTAAATTTTCATCAATTATAATACCTAAATATTTAGTTTTTTCTACTTCAGATATTTTACAACCATTGAATTTTATATTACAACGTCCTTTAACATAACTATTTCTTCTATCATGAATTATCATAAAAACTGTTTTTTTAATATTGATCTTCATTTGATTTTTTAATAACCATTTATATAATATTGATAAACTCAGATTAAGGGTATTTTCAATTTCCTCCAAGTCGTCACTAGCAAAATAGATTTTAGTATCATCTGCAAAAAGTCTACATGTAACACCTAAATTGTTAATTAATTTTATCATATCGTTTACATAAATCAGAAAGAGCAATTGGCCAAGTTTGGAGCCTTGGGGCACACCATTCTCATTTCTGATTTCGTCAGAAAAAATATTGTCTAATTTGACTCTTTGTCTCCTATTACTTAGGTAGGATACAAACCATTTTAGTATTAATCCTCCTATTCCTATAGTCTTAAGTTTTTTAATTAATACTTTTATACTTATAGTTTCAAATGCTCTAGCGAAATCAATAAATAAAACCCCAATAAACATCCCTTTGTCTAAACATTTGCGCCAATCCGTTAGGGAGGCTTGTATAGCTGTTTCACATGAAAAATACTTTCTAAAACCAAATTGCTCATCGTTCAATATATGTTTTAATTCTAGATATTTTTCAAGCCTATTTTTTACCACTTGTTCTAATATTTGTTCTAAAATGGGCAGTGTATTAATAGGTCTAAAGTCTTCAATATTTTCACTATTTTTAATTTTTCTTAATGGCGTAATTGTTGACAGCTTCCAGACATTAGGCATAATACCAAGTTTTAAAGATTGGTTTACAACTTCTAGAATAATATTAGGGTTTGATTCCCATATCAATTTTATAATTTTAACATTTATTTCTAGTTTAGAACCTTTGTTATTATCTAAATTTTTAATTATTGATTTCGCTTCTGCATATGAGACCAAGTCAAACTCACATAAAAACGAATTTCCATTCTCGTCATTTATACAATTATTTACATTATTATAATGATTAGTAAAATATTCATTCAAACCCTGCTCGTTTTCAATAGTTTCGCTTATGTCATTTACAATAGTCTTAATACTATTTACAAAATATTTATTAAATTCATTTACAATCTCTTGTTTATTTTCTAGTGAAATATCCTTAATTTTAATTTTATCAATTTTATCTGCATTTGACTTTTTATCGCCCATTATCTTTTTAATCTCTGACCACATTAGTTTTGAATTTCAAGTAAATGAAATGATAGGAGGCTCAAACAATTTTAAAGCAAGCGATGGGTGGCTTAGCTCATTTAAAAGGTGGCATGGATTAAAAAAAGGCAAATACATGGAGAAAAGTTGTCAGCTGATACTGACAGTGCAACTAAATTCAAGGAAACATTCAGAAATTTTATTAAAGAAGAAGGATATCTGGATGAAAATATCTACAGCGGAGATGAAACAGAACTTAATTGGAAATTACTACCTAGAACCACGTTGGCTTTGGAGAATGAAGATTCTTGTCCTGGTCATGAAATAAAAAAGGAAAAAATTTCTGTATTGCTGTGTGCCAATGCGGATGGTTCTTGTAGATTGCCTCCTTTAGTTATTGGAAAGTCAAAACATCCAAGATGTTTCAAAAATAAAATTTTGCCAGTCATTTATACATCACAGAAATCATCGTGGATGGACAGAGACATTTTTCTTGAATGGTATAAGAATAACTTCATTCCATATGTCAAATCTCAACAAAAAGTTCCTGGTAAAGTGTTGTTGTTGCTTGATAACTGTCCTGCTCATCCATCGGCAGAAGTTTTAAATGCTGTGGATCCTCAATTTAGAGTTATGTATTTTCCTCCTAATGTGACAAGTTTAATTCAACCGATGGACCAGGGCGTAATTGAAAAAACAAAAAGGCTTTATCGTAAAAATTTATTGCGAATGGTTTCATCATCACAGCAGGATTATTATAAAGATCCAGAGAATTTTTTAAAAGATTTTGATCTTTTTGACAGCTGCAATCTTCTGGCATCAGCTTGGAACGAATTGACTCAAGAAAATTTGGCTGCTGCGTGGTCTAAATTAAAACCATTAGGTGATAATCTCAATAATAGTGGATTGGAAAAAAATCTGAGCTTAGATGAAGCTGAAAATTCATTAAATATTACTACTGATGAAATCAACGACTTAACGAATGTCATAAAAAAATTCCAGGTATGATTTTATTTGACCTTTTTAATAAAATTATCAAATATTCTTGAGATAACTAATTTATTTTTTTTTTTTATTTTAGGGTATGAAAATATAAGCTACGATTCTATTGAAGACTTATTGACAGGAAAGGCCGACGATTTAGGATGGGAGCCCCAGAATTTACAACAGATTGTCACTGCAATACGCGTAAAATTAATCCATTAAGTCAAAAATCTTCTCCTGACAACGAGAATTTAAGCAGTATAGCCAACGTTACCGCTACTAATGATCTGGATTTAGACTACGTAGAGTTTGAAACTCTAGACGATTCACTAGATTGGGATAATCTTGATGTCTCTATCACTGATGAAAATATCAATGATAATAATTCATCTTGTGAACATGAAAATGTTGTGATGTGCAATTCACTAATGCCTGTTCAATTAGATATGAGGAATAATAATAATAATAATAATAATAATAATAATAATTGTAATTGTTTTGTATCTGATAAAGAAAAAGCGTTAAACGCTGTTGGAGCTCTTCGTCATTGGCATCTAGTCAATTATAATTTTGAAGAATCAGATGTTGTAAATGATCTCAAAGCCTTAGATAGCATTGAACAGCGTATTATTAAAAATAATTAGCAATTAAACATGTCATTCGAACATTTGAGTTTTTAAAATCATAGATATGATAGTCATAAGTCATAAGCTGTGATAACAAAAAGTATATGTTAGTGACTAAAAGCTCAATATATGATCATATGCACTGATATGCATAGATGTTACATATCTTTTAAAGATATAAGTTAATTATTTTTAATACTTTTGTACGTGAGATAATTTTAAAATTGTAATTTAACTATAACTGATGATTTTTCAATAAATAATTTAAAGTGTTTGACGAAAATATTTTATAATTCATTATTTCCTTTTTTGTAGTTGTTCTACAGATTTTAAAATTTCGCGGGAAGAAGCACATGTACAAGTTTTCTTTGAGTGTGTTGGTAAATGCAGGTTCTCACTGGCTATTGGTCACAAAATTGTTAGCCACGCCTCTAAAAGTCTGCTTTTAAAAGCTACGCTACCCCCGAAAGCGTATCTTTTAAGAGCGTCTACTGTAAATCGATTCGGACCGATTGAGAAATTTTGAAAAATCTCAAAAAAAATAAGAAAAAAATCATTTTTGAAAGTGGTTTTTTTGGAATATCTTTTAAACGGCTTGATCGATCAACTTCAAAAACTAATCCGCCCTTAAGCTTGAAAAACGACGCCGATCGGCGCTAATCCGGTCAAAATCGGTTGATTCGTTCGAGAGAAGTTGCTCAATGAATATGTGCAAACACAAGAGAGCAGCGGTTTTTCCTTGTCAGCGATCTTGGCTGTGTTTTGGTTATGGTGAAGGTAGGATAAATATACGTGCGTGTATAGCTCTTTTGAGCCCAGGAAACGGCCTCTTCGGAGGTAGGCGAAAGCCTCACCATATATTCTTCGTTCGAGAGAAGCGTGAACGAAAGAAAATCGAAAAAAACCGAAAAAAGTGTTTTTTTTACATAACTTCGTCATTTCTTTTTGGATCGTTTGTGATGATACAGAATAATTTCAGAGCTTAAAAAACCGCGTCGATCGCCGCCAAAAACGTGGAAATCGGTTGATTAATTCGAGAGATATCCTCGACGAAATATTTGGAAATAAGGATTTTTTCAACATAACTCCGACATTTTTTGGAATAACTTTCAAACAGCTCTACCGATCGATTCCAAAAACTAATCAGCTCTTAACATCAAAAAACCACGTCGATTGCCACCAAGCTGGTCAAAATCGATTAATTCGTTCGAGAGATATCGTGAACGAAAGAAAACTGAAAAAAGTGTTTTTTCGGGATTACTCCGAAATTTTCGGTTCGATCAATTAAAACCTGAAAATAACTTATGAGGATGATAAAACTGCGTCGAATAGCGTCAACCGCGTGAAAATTGGTTGATCCATTCAAAAGTTATTGCGGTTTGAAAATTCCAAAAATAGTGTTCTATGAAACTTCGATCAAACTTTTGAGCTGGGAGAGCTCAAATGCATAGAAATATTATTTCTTTGAACTCAGCGAGCTCAAAATATCACATAAATTATATTTTAAGCTCAAATATCTCAAAAATGTCATAAGTACAATTTTAAGCGCCCAGGAATGAAATTAGCGGGAAGTTGCACGGATGGCCTTTAGGGTAAACCGTTTTTCTAATTTTTTTCATCTATACATTCATATAATATATATAAATATATGAAAAGTTGATGTGGGTACTCAAATGAAAGGTCTCGATGAGTGTAATGTTGGGATGAGCTTATATCTTTAAAAATGGCAATAGTTCACAAGATGCAAGGTCATTTCTTAATTATGTATCTAGAGATAGAGCATTTTCGAATGCAGCCTTAATTCTTATCATAATAAATCAACTATTAGTGAGAATGATATGAAACCTTAAAAAGGCACAACTCCAGGTCAAGACTTTTCTAATGATACCAAATTTAACTATAAAAAGCCATTTTATTACAAAAATTTACTGGTCACAAAATTTTTTTTATTCTCTTAATAATATAGATTATTATTATGATTATCATGATAATTATTATTTTTGTTGTTTTAATTATTATTATAGTATTGCCTGCCACATGAAAATCATGTTGCTGTCACATGAAAATCATGTGGCAGCCACATGAAAAAATCATGTGACTGCCACAGGAAAATCATGTAGCCGCCATATGAAAATCATGTAGTAGCCACATGAAAATTATCTGGCAACCACATGACAACCATGTGGCAGCTACATGGAAAAATCATGTGGCTGCCACAGGAAAATCACGTGGCAGTCACATGAAAATCATGTGGCTGCCACAGGAATGTATCATGTGGCAGCCCCAATTTTTTTTTTGCGTGTGCAAATACATGGAGTGATCAGATACTGGTACATGAGCATCTATTGGGGCTTTTACTTTACTTGCAAAAATAAGTCGCGCAAAAATTCTTCCAGAAGAGAAACAGATTAGAATTTTAAATAAAACATGAATATAGTTCAATGCAGAATGCCCGTAAACATAAAGATAGTAATTTCTCTATGATCAAAGAGAATGAGAATACCCAAATGTATAGACGGATAATCATAGAAATGAATGTTAAGTATCGAAGCAGCGTCTCTTGAAAGAAGAAACTCATAACTCATAATCATAACTATAACCTTAATAACTTTAGTTCAATGTTCACTGAAGATGATGAATGTCAAATTTTAATATTTCTTTTGAGCACTTTAGTATTTTTACAACAAAACAAGATCCTGGATATTGACCGAACGACCTCTGAACATAAATGGAAAATATATTGAATAGAATAGAAAGCATTATAGAAGGAGAGACTGCGCAAGGGTGATAATAATGCTAGTGATAACCTTTTTTGAGCATCCCGAAGGATTTTAATCAATCACGCTGACAAGCAAACGGCAAAAAATTAACAACCCTTATATTCACTTAACGTCTTATTTCTCTTCATAAAAGGGATTGTTCGGGTGGGGAAAAGCATGAAAAAATTTGTTATAAAAAATAACCTTTTTATTGTGATAGACATAGACTCAGACTCACTATTCACAGAAAGGTCAGTATTCAACAAACTCGGGAGATTATTTAAAATAAATGTATTGCTATGTTTAAGTATTTAACTAAATTTATTTGACATTATATCGTTTGAACTTGCTGTTGAACGAAAAATTATTCACTGCTGATGAGCTAATGGGAAAATTTTATGTAAATTTCGGGAAATAAAATAAAAATTTATTCTAATTGAAGATTATGTGACGTGAAATTTACTAAGATTTTGGTAGTTTTTACACTTCTGTATACACAATCTAAACTACCCGGGATTTCAAATGACTGGGGTGTTAGTAATACCCGAGTTTAAGAGATAAACTAAGTAAATGCCGCTGACGTTTTAAAAAGTAAGAAATGATGAGACAGACTTCTAAATCCCTAAAAGTT